CTAGATCAGCTGGAAGCGCCGCGGTCTGGCCCGGGTCCTGCGCCGCTTTGGTCCCCGTCTCCCTGGTCTGCTGGCTCCCGCAGCAGACCAGGGAGATGGGGAGCAGCTTTTCTCGCCCAGGAGGAGGCGGGGGGCGGGACCAGGCATCCCGCCGCTCCAGTCCTCCGGGGCGAGAAAATCCCCGTTCGTAACTGCGGATCCGACATAAGTCGGATCCGCGTAACTTGAGGACTGCCTGTACTACCTTCACCTATCTTCTCTCACATATAGTTTGACATGCAAAGTGATTATACAAAAATCTCATGTTTATTTTAAAAAGCATAGTTTCCAACTTTACCTTTAGTTACTAATTGTTACCACTGAAAAGTGCTAAGATGCATTTGGAGTATCAGTTCCTGAGATAGTTGTGGAGCGTACACAAACATCTTAAATGCAGTAGGCAATTTACAAGATTTGAATTAGCACTGGGTTAGGAGATACTCAAACTTAAGTAGGAGAATTTAGTGTCTAAAAAACGTAACTGTTGCTATTCTAGGTTACCACCAGGTATTTGGCCTAACCAGAATGGATACTTCAAAAGATTTCCTGTGATCATTAAACAAACTCAACATGTTTTATTAGGTGGTAGCTCCAATACCAGTTACTGCTGTAGACCATCCTATTATTATGACATGGGCTATTTTCCAAGCAGTCCTAGACTCAGAGGTTACTGGGTTCTCTCATTTAAAAGTTTGCATTTCCCTTGCATTTGATTTGAGAAAAATGAAACAAACCAATAACTGTAAAAGCATGAAGTGTTGAGATCAACCCAGGTCAAAAACAATACTCATTGTAGTCTTTTGCTCAGGGCATGGCAGAAAAAATTTCACTTTTCAATTACATTAAAATGAGCACGTAAATACATTCTCCTTTATGCCTGAAATTTTGTATATGACCATTTCCCATCTTAGCGGAGGCTTTAAAACATAGATATATCTTCTGTGGAGGGAAAGGGGAATCTCCTTTCATCTTCCCAGATATAAGGGGTAGCTCCTACACCTACAGCTAGGAAGGAGGAAGAGTGTGCTCTCTCACACACTTACACACCAAAAAAATACCCACAAGGGAAAGAACCCATTCAAGACTCAACAGGAAGACATCTGAACCAAGACTTCAATCCTGTGAATATTTGCTCCACACAAAGGGATAACAAAGTTCCAGCCCCACTAAGAACACTGCATAATGGCTGACCTGGACTAACAAGATGTGGTAGCATATTTTGAATCACTCTCAGGACCTTGAAATCTTAGTTTACAACAGCTGATTTTTAAGCCATATATTGCTCATGAAGAACCACAGTACAAGCTGTATTACAACTCCAGGAGCAGAAGTAGTATTTGTTTTGAATTCCCAGGAGAAAAACTTCCTTGCACCTCAAAAATCCCTCCACTTGACCAGTTTGAGAAGCTTTTGCTGAAATATAGCTCACGCATGTAAAAAGTGGCAAATTAGTTTTCTGATTTTTTCAGAAACGAGTGATTACTCCAAAACTCTGTGTTCACCACCATGAAGGAACATGCAGTGATTCACAAATGGTTCCATATTCTATGGTGGCATATTAATAGCTTCACTTGATTCTTGCAAACCCTGGCATGAGGTCAGCTGTCCTTGATGCATAGCCCTGATTGTCAGTCACATTGGTCTGTTGGTTCAGTTCTTCCAGCCTCTTTATCAGTAACTCTAGGCGTGCATGAACTGCCACAAGCTGGTCTTTGAGCTAGAAAAAAAAGTAAGGGCAGTTAAACAACAGTTACATACCTTACAGCAGTGGTCTCCAACCTTTTTACACCCAAGATCACTTTTTAAGTCTCAGAACAGACGAAGATCTACTGCCCCGCCCCTTCCTTGAAGCCCCACCTACATTACATGAGGAAATCTAATGTAAATGTACTGCACAGGTGCGCAGTTCAGAGAGGGCTCAAGAGCTACTCTTGGAGCCCCTGAGATCTACCGGTAGATCGCGATCTACTGGTTGGTGACCACGGCCTTACAGTAACTGTGGTTCTTTAAGATGTGTTGTCCAGATTTCACTGCTGAGGTGCACGTGCCCAAGATCAAATTATTTTGAACAGCAGTGGGTTTTTGTAACTGGGCTTACACCCAGAATGCCCTCTCACCCCTGTAGCAGAGGGTACAAAGGGGAGAGCAACCTCAACCACACTCCACCGGAAAGAATGCTAATTCAGAGTCTTGTCACTATAGTAAGAAGGACAAGAGGTGTGTTATCTGTTGTGTTACTGTAAAGCATGTAACTATTCTAGGTATTACAGCAGGGCTACTCAACACGCGGCCTACAGCCTGTTTATTTGCAGCCCACGGTGCGGTTTGGATTTATGCGGGGCTCAATCTGCGGCCCACGAGTGGGAGCCAAAACAAAAAAGTAGTCAATATAATGGTCTTCTCTTGATAGGAATTTTAGTAGTTAAATTCCTGGACTGTCATCGCTCACTAAAAGCGGTGTCAAATGGGTGGAAATCGGGTAACTATTGCATTTTATTAATATCAGCAGAACTGACTTAAATGCGGCCTGTGTGGTGTGTCGTCTTGCCTTCATCTTTGTATTCGTGCCCGTCAGTGTGAAAGAAGCTATTTGCATATATGCAACCACACTTAAGTTGTGGCCCTCAGCATGCACTGTGAGTATCATTGTGGCCCCCTGGGCTTCCAAAGTTGAGTAGCCCTGGATTACAGGATAGCCCTATCAATTGGCATACAAACTGGAATTTTATACTGGTAGTGTCAAGCTCCATGTTGCTGGGCAACATCACTGATGTTGGAACATCAGACAGGTAAGTAACTAATGCTGCCTGGGCCCTAATGGAGTGAGACACATGATTAGCTAGAAAAGATTACCTCTAATTTATAGAAATTCATAAATCATGTAAAGCCTGAGAATACTTGGACAATCTCTGAGTGGATAAAGATAGCTATAGGAAACAAAGGTGCAATTTGCTGCTAAGCTGCCCAAATAGCAAATCTATTCCATTGAACTTTGTACATCACTCTGATCAAAAGGTGTTCTGCTTCAAAGTAAGATACTTTGAACTACAGAGAAGCAACCTCTCGTGCAGCCATTTTCCAGGCTGTCAGGTGCAAGGCCATCAGATTGGGGTGCAGGATCTGGACACTGTTCTGAGAGATCAGATCTAGCAGAACTTAAAGGTAAGTGATCCTCCACAAACTGATCACGAGTACTAAACTGCATCTCATCTCAGCTTCCTCAAAATTGTGGAATAGGAAGGCATGGAATTAAGTCTGGAGCCCCCCGGATGAGATAAGACATCCATGAGGGAGCTTAGGCTCTCACCATTTAGTACTTGGTGTGTGTTGTGTTACAAATAGGTTTCTAGAAGAGGACCTTCATCTGTAAAAGATGCTGTAGAGGATAATAGGTCCTCTTTTAGAAACCTTCATCTGTAAAAGATGCTGTAGAGGATTGAAGATCATTTCAGGAACTCAGCAATGTCACTGTTGAATTTATATGCTAGTATATTATGGAGGCAGGGAAGAAGTAGCTTTACTAGAGGGACGAAGGTGACCGACATATTAATCCCAAAGTTGTACAGTTTTTTGGAAGAATGAAGAGGATCTGGCTCATCTTTGCCTGTTAATATAGTGCACTTCTGTGATACTGTCTGAACGCTGGGATTATCACTCACCAATTGAGAGGAAGAAAGGCCGTTCATGCCAGCCAAATAGTCATGGGTTTTGCACAAATATTCAAGACCATTTCCCCAGAATTCAAGTCGTCAGGGTACACTCCCCGTCCACACCCTTAAGTGGGGGGAATCTGTTAGTTCAGTCCTTGGCAGTACCAATGTAAAAAAGGGAACTTTACTCCATGGCTATCTACCAATTTAGAGAAAGAACTTCTGGAGGGATCATTATGGGCAGATCCATGCAATGCCTGTTGGGCAGACATACTGATCTCGGTCACCCTTGCAAAAGGATGAAGGTTTAGTTTACCATGTGCGCATGCTACCATGTGTCCATGAGTGAGGCAGGTTTTCACTCATGTCTTGTGCTTGGAGCTGTCTGAAATCTGTCAATTTGAAAACTCAGAGAGGTATGGTTTCTGAGGACAGGACAAGGAGTAATGGGCTTAAAGTGCAGCAGGGGAGGTTTAGATTGGACATTAGGAAAAAATTCCTAACTGTCAGGGTGGTCAAATATTGGAATAAATTGCCAAGGGAGGTGGTGGAATCTCCCTCTCTGGAGATATTTAAGAACAGGTTAGATAGACATCTGTCAGGGATGGTGTAGGTGGAGCTTGGTCCTGCCTTGAGGGCGGGGGGCTGGACTCGATGACCTCTCGAGGTCCCTTCCAGTCCTATTATTCTATGATTCTATGGTCTTACAAGTGTGAAATATAAACACTTCCATGTTTAACTCTATGCTTTGATTTTGTGCAAGCATGGATTTCTCTGTTACCTTGAAGCTAAGCAAGATGAAGATTTAAAAAGAGGATCACTTGCTATGAGGATTCCCTCAAATGAGCTAGTTTAAATCGGGGCATACCTGGATTCTTCACCTTCTCAAATGAGCTGCCAGCATGGTAAGAACTTTGGAGACTCGTGGGGCTGTCAAGAGGACAAAGTGTAGGACTCTGTACTGTTGGTGAGATGCTTCTATGAATTTCAACTACTTTCAGTGAGTTGAATAAATCTAAGCGTGAAAACAGGCATCCTAAAGTAAACAAATTATTCCAATGGATCCAAAGAGGGGATTTTTAAAGCTAGGGTAAGCATGTAGAAAATGAAATAATAGATGAAAGTGTTAAAATGTCAAAGACAGGGAAATAGAGACTCATGCTCTTCTTTATTTCCTAATCCCAAAGGGAATAAAAGCTCTTGCCACAGAAATTTGAGGGCATTTCCTATACTGAGTTCTCTCAGCTGATTCAAGCAGTCTATCACATATTTTAACCAATCTCCTTGAACGTGATATCTCCTTGAACATGGATATCATGATATCCACTAGGCTATTAGGCATGAGGTTTTCAGGATATCATGATATCCACTAGGCTATTAGGCATCTCCATCATTCGTCTCATCAAGCCTTGGAAGAATTTTAGTTCATCCAATCAGGCAACAGGTAGAGGATTAACTGCATCATATAGAGGAGCACAAGAATATGGCATGAGGTGGTTGTTCCACCCTAAGCTTTCCTCAAGTACTTGTGCAGGTTGGAGTTGCTTCTTTGGGGATGGAGCTCTGGCATTGTAGATGGTGAAGGATACAGACTTCCTAGAATATAGTTTTGCAGCTGAGGGGAAGGGCAGGGGGAAGGCTGATGAAATGCATATGGCTGAATACCAAGAGTGCTTCCTGCAGGACCCCATGATTTCCTGACATCCTTCAGAGATTAATCCCTGGATTTCCAGCCTACTTCCCACAGCACTTCCCCAAAGTGGTAGAAGGGGATGCTCAAGAGGACAAGGCATGGTTTGCTCCATTGAGTAAGACAAAAAGGAGTGAACCTTTGGGTGAAAAGTTGAGGATTTGATGACCACCCTTCTAAATCTCTCAATAAGAGGTGATCCCACATCACCAAGAGATCTGGTTTTAGGCCCAGCAGTGAAGTCCAGTGTCTAGGTATTTGGTAAAAACAAAAGGAATCCTGTGGCACCTTACAGACTAACACATTTATTAGGACACAGGCATTTGGGGTGAGGGCTTCAGACAGGACTGAAGAGGCCAATGCTGCAGTTAGGGCACTTTGTGCTGACTGGTCCTTATGCGGAAAGGGAACCACCAGTCCACTTTCAATATGGAGGTACCAGAGCAAGACACTGATTTCAAACTCTTGATGGAAATAGTCTTTGGAAAGGATCTCTCTCCTGCTTGGAAAGGGCATGGTACCTGCTCTGATTTCAGGAGTGGCACTCCTTGAGGCTTCCTTTTGGAAGTAACTGTGAATGTTATGGGTGATCAGAATATAAGCAGTGTCCCATAATGGCATTTTGGCGCTCTGGAGCCATGTGACTGACCTAACAGATGAAATTATGCCTTTGGTTTGCCCATCTGATGAGACTTATCAGCTTTTCAGGGAGGAAGAACTTAAGCCTTGTCTCCCTTGCCTGCTGAAGCACATTCAGAAAAGGATTGGAACCCAGAGCAGAACTCTGAGACATATCCCTCTCCTAGGCAAATAAGACATCTAGAATATCCATTAACAATGGGCATTGCTGCATTACAAGAGGGACATGGTTTGAACCTTGAGGATTTCATGTTAGGCATTTTAAAGTACTGTATGTGGGAGAGGAAATGAAAGCCTGTAAGACTGTCTTTTAAAGGGCTCTGTCTTGCAGCCACAACTGGTAAAAAGGAACTTGAGGATGGGTGGGGGAGGGCAGCTTCTCCACTTTCTATCCCCAACTACAGGGAGCAATAAGGCATACAGTATAGAGGTGCAGTGATCAAGGTTTCTTTTTAATATCAGTGGCTGATCTCATTCACATGCATACCCTCAAAGGAATCTCTGTGGACAGTTACTTAAAAGATAACCTGAGATACTATCAAGTTACTGCTGTAAACAGAGTCCTGCACATGTCATTATTTTATGAACAAATATTCCATAAAAGGTTCAATCCTCTGATCATTCTAGCAACATCCCTTATAAGCATTTCAAAAACACTGTTTGCATTTCTAATAAAATGCTACCATTATTTGACCAAACCTCAATTATTTTTAGTGGAAGTTTTGCTTGACTGAGCTTTGGGACTCTCACATGGTCCTAGAGCTTAGACTCCAGCCTAAGCCTGGAAGGCTACAGAGCAATGAAGCAGTCATGCAGCCCAAGCACAAGTCAACTGGCCTAGGCCAACTGTGGGTGTTTAGTTGCTAGGTAGATAAACCCAGAAAGGCCAGAAGAGGACTAGCAGGAGGAGAGAAGTCCTCAGGCCCAATTTCATATTCATACCAGAAAACATTCAAAAAAACCAGATCTGGCTTACAACTTGAGGGGGAACACATTCTAAAGAAAAAGGGATATTCAGACTAATTTTGGCCTAAACTATAGGTAATGTAAAAGCAGTTACAGAATTTAAATAGAAGTGTCCCTATGAAACTGAAAGACAGTAGAACTAAATTTTAGAGTAGCAGCATTCTTCTACATTTAGCACAGTCCTAACATTGCAATATATGAGAGGATAAGTCAATTAGATAAGAGTCTGACTAATTGTTGTCCATCCTAAATGTGATGCAGAAAGTAAATGTCATTGCTGAATAATTTGTTTTTCTCCAATTTTAAAAAACAGGATGCTGACATGACAAGAACTGTAAATTAAATTAAACCTTCTTGTGTTCCTTTAATCCCTTTTAATGATTAAATGCTGTTCTGTGCCAGAAGAACATGCACATTCACTTGTTTATGGGATAATGGAGAATGAGTGCTCTAATAGTTTAAGTTTACAGCATCCCTCTACATACACTAATTTGTACAAAATTTGCATTTCCCCCTGTTTCAACACACAAAAATCATAAAGAAACTTTACTTTTTCCAGGTGTTCCTTTAGGCTCAAAACAGGAAAGTTCATCTCAGAGGCCTCTATTACAGTTTTAGTTTTTAAGAGATAACTGAAAAACAAAAGTCAAACGAGAGAACAGTAATAAAAACCAGAGAAACTTTCACTGTATAAAAAGGAGGTTTATGCAGAAACTAATGCTGATGCCAAACTATAACTAGGATGGCTAGAAAGACTTGAAGTAGTATAAGCTTACATCAGCTGTTCTAAAAATGGGGTCTGAGTGTAATATCCGGGGCCAACAGTCCCACTGATTAAGTTTTCCTCCTCCCTCCTAGAACCTGTTCAGCAGTGTGCAGGTAGTGCTGGGAGGAAGTAAGAGGAAAAGTGGTGGAAAAGAGGAAAGGCAGAGCTATGGCATGGAGAGTTTCTTGGGGGAGGGGTGTAGTGGGGGCAGGGCCAGGAGCTGAGTAGGAGATGAACAGCGCCTCTGGGAAAAGTTAGAAGCCAACTTGGGGCGAGGGTGTCACAAAAAAAATGTTAAATAAAAATGAGGGTGCTCAGTTTGCTAATGTTTAAGAACTGCTAGCTTAGATATATTAATTTGGAAAGTTGCATTCTCTTCAGGAAGCAGTTTTGGTACTAGAATCCACAAAGCTTCTGGTTGATCTGTATTTGCTATCAGAAAAAGAAACTATGAACAACCAGATCAGGGTTAACTTTGATATTATCAGTTCTCACTGACAGCAGAAAATATCACCAACCTGAATTTGCCATTCTTATTTTATACAAATCAATGTGGTTGGTATTCCTTATATTGGTATTCTTTCCTTCCCAGGAAGAGCTCTGCTTTGGACCTAATTTCTAAGTTATCCTTCTCTGACATATTGGTGGGTACTAACCAGAGGATGCTGTCCTTGAAAAGACAGAAGAGGCCTCGTAGATGAGCCAGTGCAGTGAAGGCAGAATAGAGGCTGAAGCCCACCATTATTCCACATGAATGACAGTACAATGCGTAGTAAGTGCTGAAAAGAAAAAGAAAAGGTTTCAGTGGAGCAGAGATTTCCAAACTGTAGTTCAAATATTGCTTACTGGGTTCAGTGAGACATACCAAAATATGAAGTATTACTTCTCTATGTAAGTAAGCACTGTAATAGTCATATAGGTTATGGGAATCCTAAGTACAGTAGAAGGATAGGTGTCTTTAATATAAAGATGGTACCTGCTCAAAAATTTGGAACACCCCAGAAACTGAGGTTAAAATATGAAAAAAAATGAAATCTAACCTAATGTCAGATCAGGACACCCAGCTAATACTGAAACAGCCAAGAATTTAAGAGAAAATCATTTCAGACAGAATTAAAAATGAATTTAAAAAACAGGAAACAGAGGCATATGAAACTATAAACATCAAGGCTGTGTCTACACTGGCATGAATTTCCAGAAATGCTTAAAACAATAGTTTTCGTTATATTTCTGGAAAAAGAGCGTCTACATTGGCAGGCTGCTTTTCCGGAAAAGCTCTTTTTCCGGAAAAGCATCTGTGGCCAATGTAGACGTGCTTTTCCGGAAAAGAGCCCCGATCGTCATTTTCGTGATCGGGGCTTTTTTCCGGAAAAGACTACTGGGCTGTCTACACTGGCCCTTTTCCGGAACAGTGTTCCGGAATAAGGACTTATGCCCGAGCGGGAGCAGCGTAGCTTTTCCGGAATAGCGGCTGATTTTGTACAGTAGAGCATCGTTGCTTTTCCGGAAATTCAAGGGCCAGTGTAGACAGCTTGCAGCTTATTCCGGAAAAGCGGCTGATTTTCCAGAATAAGTGGCCCAGTGTAGACACAGCCCAATTGATTAGCGATACAACCATTAAGCTTCCTTTTTTTTCTTATCCTTTCTGTCCCATTAGAGAAAAGCTAAAAATGTCTATAAGAATGGCTTGAGATACCTGTTAAGTTATGTATTAGCGTAAGAGTTACAGGCTGTGCAAGATGCCTACGGCCAGTCCCAGGCAAGTTCCATCACCTTCTACAGAATACAAAACTTTCCTTTAAAAAAGGTTTCTAACCTTTATAATTGTGACAAATCTTGCAAATATCAACCAAGCAGAATACAAATACAGGACTGCTGCTTCAAGTTTGTAGACAGCTCAAGGGGTTGTAGCTACTTAACTTTGAAAGTGGTAATACCTGCTTCAAATTCAATTCTAATAAAAACTATTGTAAACCATGCTTGGTACAAATACTCTACTATAGCCACTTTCCTATCTATAGGATTTTGATTAACTTATTTCCTCATACACATACGCACACAGTAGATTAACCCCAAAATAGACCAAAAAAGAGCATTATCATAGCTAGGTGAACCAGCTTCTACTGATTGTTTAATTAATTAACAACAAAACTTGTTTACTTTCACTAGGAAAGAATATAAAAACATTTTCTAGCTTAACAGTTAGACACACTTTTTTTTTAAACACAAAAGTTTCTCCTCCTCCCCCCACCTCAATGGTAAATAGGGCAAAAACCTAGTTTTGTGTGGGGAGGGGAGGGTGAAGAGGTAAATTATTCCCGGAGAAATGTTGTGTCACTGCAAAGCACAGAATTCATGACCCTGGCAAACTTTTGCTTCCCTACAGAAAAGTGATTTCTGAGGGGAAAATAAAAGGAAGCCACAAGAGCAGTCATGAGTCCCTTGCCAGTAGTGCAGGCACATTGGTTTGGGAACTCAGAGCAGCCAATAGATGCATACAAATCACTGCTGGGGCAGGCAGGACTGGACAGTTATGCATTTGAGACACTATGCTTGTGGTATGCCTGGTGGGGAGAGGCCTGGCTTTGGGGTGCTTCTGAGGAGGTAGTTGTGTGGCAGGTTCCATAACTTCAGAAGGTGCAGAATGTAGCAGCCTTCCTGCTTAGTGAGTTCTTCCCATTGTTCTTAGTGAATTCCCCCAGGAGTATAAAACAGGTGTAAAAACGTTATGGCTCTTTTATATTGCCAGTGATGTAAAGGGGCCTTACTGTACAGGACAGTATGGTCTTATAAATGCTTATGGTACTTTAGTAATTAGAACTGGTTTAATTTTTGGACTGAAAAGATTTCCTATCAAAATGTGGTCCATAAACTGTTTGCTACTGACCATTCCGGAGATGGTCAATAGCCAGTATAAATTGGGAGTTTGAATCCCCATTCCTCACTTGCTCTTAATTTGCCTATGATGTAACAATGAGCGTATGACTACATATTCTTGTTGACTAGTAACTAGCTATATTAGAGGGGATTTGGGGTTTCCTCCAATGCTCCCCAAGCCCAGTCTTCATCCATTGTACTGTAGTTTAAATATAATCACCAAAATTTTTGAAATCAGGGTGATTATACTACTTTAAGTAATAAAATATGCAGAATTTTAGAATAGTATGCAGAATTCCCTTGAGAATAGAGGCTATCAATTTACAAAGCTTTCTTAGTTGAAAAAGCAGTGGTTAGGTCCTAAGCCAATCTCAATTACTTCTCAATTCTGTAAGACTCTTCTTAAGAGGGAGTTGGAAGGATTTTCTAAACTTATTTTCTTCTGGCCCAGAGATAGTTCTAAAATTCAGAAGCAACACATTATTGCCTTTCTGCTCTGCTGTAGGATCATCTAAAAACTGAAAACTAACATTAAAAGCAAGAAGCAACATCTGAGGTACCTACCATCCCAGAAGGGCTCCTTCAATACCGACCATTAAAGAATCTTCCAAAACAACATCATTTGTGACTTCTGGGAAGATAAACCCATAGATAGGTAGTTATACAACACTGATCATTCACCAGTATTTCTGCTAGTCCCCAACACTAAGGTTTTAAACTTCCTATCTTTAGGCTTGGAATGATTCATTTATGTGCTATATTTACTTTAAACTTACTAAATATTTTTTAATGTATCAATTTAAATGTTTGAACTAATAGAAAATTAAAATCCTCCAGTGCTTTTTATGCAGACTGACTGAATCCCAGATTCAAATCTTTTCTAATATCTAATTTGTATAAGAACAATAATGATTTTTGTTGCCAGAGCCAGCTACTAGCACGAAACAGGTGTATTTATTTAAAGATTCAGGTAGTGGGAGTATCCTGCATTAGTGCACGAGGAAGAGGAACGGGACAACTGGCAAGCAGTGGCAGATCGGAGTGGGAATGAAACGAACAGTCGCTGGCCAGGAGCAAGGTGAGGGGAAGGAAGCAGCTGTACAGCCGCTCACGTCCCAACTGAACTTGCAGGATTGCAGTTTCACTTGCAAAACGAGTAGAGCGGATCGGGTGTTAACAGATAGAGCCCGCTTATGTCACTTTAGATGAAGTCTCCAAACATCTCGTGCTCATCGAGCATGCATTAGGGGCCAGCGAAAACGAGACCAGCTCACTCGGGCAGAGCTCACCCACCCGCCGCTCTCCATGGAACGGATGCTAGGCCCGCAGTTAGATCCCCAGGCCCGCAGCAGCCATACTCCTCTCCGCAGGCTCGCACCAGCGCCCGTGCAAGCTAGCCCTGCCCAGCCCAGGCCATCGAGCAAGGGAGAATCCTGCCCCAGGCTCCAGTCGCAGCCCCGCTGCCCAGGCACAGACGCTTCGGAGCCCGCGCGGGGACTCACTGAAGCAGACGAGGACTCGCAGGCAGCGGTCCTCCTGGGCGCAGAGGTGCAGCGAGTCGCCCAGCACCGCGCGGCAGCTCCGGCAGTGGAGCAGGGCACAATCCTCCAGCCGGAGCCCGCGGCGCAGCAGCGCCCTGGCCCCGGGGTTCCACGGCTCCTGCTGGGGCTCCGCGCCGCGCAGCTTGCCCGTGTCCGCCTGGGGCGGGCGGCCGCGACTCCGCAGTGCGTCCGGCCGCTCGAAGGTGATGGCACCGCCAATCTGAGGCTCCTGAAACAACTCCTGGATGCATCTCCGCACCGCCATCTTCGCTCACCCGCTATCCGCGCTGCTGGTTCGAAACCAGCGCCCACCCCCTTGCCATCCCAATTGGAGGGCGACCTACAGCTCTGCGATCCGATTGGGTGGCACACACATCAATCACTTCACCAGGCGCTCGCAAGACGGGACTCGTTAACTCCGACCATGGGATGGTGGGGAGAAGACCAATCATTCTACTTCCCAATCAGAGAGCGAGTTGGGCTGGGGCGGGGCTGTATTTTGATAGACAAGTGCTTATCAGGTTAGGAAAACTAATACAAATCCCGATCTCCAGGATACCATTGGCTGTCTGTGGGTCGCAGCCACGCCCACTGATAGGTTGTCCAGCCAATGACAGGGCGCGAAGGGCGAGTTCGAATGCTGAGGGTGGGACATAGAAGCTTGCTTTTTGGCGTCAGTTGCGCGCGGGATTTGAAGCCTCGGCACGGCCGTTATCCCGGGCGGCGGCGCTCGCAGATCGGTTGCTGGTTCCCGTTGTTTTGCTGCCATGGAGCTGCCCTCGCTGCAGCAACTGGAGTCGCTCAAATACAGCGAGCTGCAGCAGCTGGCCAAAGCCGCCGGCCTCCGGGCCAACCTGAAGGTGAGGTGGTGGCGCCTCGGCCGGGGAGCTGGGGGGACCCAGCAGAGAGGGGACGGGATAGGCGGCTGCGGGGCCGGGTCTCCTCTCTGGCGCAGGTGGGGATGATACCGAGTAAAGGCGATAGCGGGGGGTGGAAGAGCTGCGGGGCTGACGCGTCTGTGGTTGGGCGTGGGGACCCCCGGGCCCCTGTCCCCGCCGTGCTCCAGTTATCGGGCGGCCCGGGCAGGGACAGGGCGCAAGTGTCGTGGTCACCACGTTATGGCTTCCAGAGTCAGACTTACAGGGAGCAGCGTTGGGATCGCAGCCCCAAAGCGTCCATGTGAACTTCTTAAGGCAAAGAGTCTGGCTAGCTCAGTAGCCTGTTTACTGACCAGTCTCAGGGGCAACTGTGTTAGTCTGTGCCCTCAAACAAGGGGGTGTCCTGTGGCATCTTAAACACTAACAGATTTATTTGGGTGTGAGCTTTCCTGGTGTAACCCCTCTTTTCCTTCTCGGGTTACTTGGGAGCAGGTCACACTCACAGGTGTGCCTGATGGTTTTAACATAAAAAGAGTTCCTGAGCACCCTGGTGGTGGTGATGGTTAGTTGGGGATTTCCTCTCCACCCCCTTGCTGCAGTCCCTGGCTCATAAAGAATATGTAATGGCAGTGTACACACTGTCTGGCCCTGTACACACTTCATGGTATGCCTTGGGAGCCTCCAGGAATAAAATTATTTCAGCATTAATCTGGGTCTAATTCCAATACAACAATTACAAATTATAAATAATATACATCTAATTGATTACATTTGAATGAACGCACCTTTACTTAACAACTTAAAGTAACAGGGTTTAACAAATTAACAGTGAATAATATTAACAAAGTACACAGAAATGATAGGAATTTATCTATCTGGCATTTGCACTGCCATGATTTATCCCACCCTCGAGTGTGCACTCCTCTGAACTCTGAACCAGAGATGTCCCAGATGCTTGTGTGTGTGTGTGTGTGTGTGTGTGTGTGTGTGTGTGTTTGAAGATCTGCAGCTGGAGTGGAAGTTCTCTGTAGGGCATTGTTTCTTAAACTTTTTAAGACTGGGGAACACCAAACAATAATTTTTTTTTGAGGAACACCAATTATTTTTTTGAGCCCCCCCCCCCCCCCAAAGGTTTTTTGCCCCTTTAAGGGGGCGCATTTTGTTGTTTGCCCCTTTAAGGGTGGCCATTTTGAACTCTGTTGTTCTATGAGACACACCTCCGATTGCCTTGTGGCCCATCCGTGTGCCGCAGAATACAGTTTAAGAAACACTGCTGTAGGGTGTGTGCTAGTCCAAGCTGTGTAGCCAGCTGCAAACTCGCTCTGCTACTGGAGTAAGTGCCACCAAATGCCAGCAGTTCTGGTTCCCTGGGCTGGATACTCTGCCTCTCTTTGGACCCAGAGTTAGCCTATATCTCTGAGGTCTGTCCTAGGCAGCACTTTCTCAAAGAACCTATTTACTTGCAGCCTCCTTCTGTGTGCTGGTTTTTGTGTAGTCCTCCTCAGCCACAGGTGCAGCCAGAGTCTCTTCCCGCTAGGGCAATCAGCAGCCTGCTAGATCTAAGCACCGCAGACTTTCAGTCCTAGAATGTAGCTGTTCCTGGTTTCCTCAAGGACTCATGCGAGTTAGTCTCTAGGGCTAGAATGCAGCACACACGATCCTCCTGGAAGAAGTCAGTTACCTTTAGTAAGGGGACTACACTGGGCAAAAAACTACTTCATCAATGCAACTGACAAAGTGGGGTTTTGCCCATGAAAGCTTATGCCCAAATAAATCTATTAGTCTGCAAGGTGCCACAGGACTCTTTGTTTTTTTTTTTTGTCTTCTGATGGTGGCTAATACCAGATGCTTCAGAGGCAGTTTTTTTTGGTCTTCTTATGGTGGCTAATACCAGATGCTTCAGAGGCAATGAACAGAATAGGGTGATTCTCAAGTGATCCATCCCCTGCCCTAGCCAAGCTTTTGGCAGGTAGAGGCTTAAGAATGCCCAATGCATGAAGTGTCCCTGACTATATTGGCTAATAACAATTGATGGACCTTTCATCCATTGTCACCTTATTTTTTAACTCAGTTATACTTTTGGTCTTTATGACCTCTTCTGGTGAAAAGTTACATAGGTTGACTGTGCGTTGTGTGTAGTAGTTGCGTATACAGGTTGGACCTCCCTGGTCCAGCATTGTGGGAGCCTGACTGGTCCCAAACAAGAGAATTTGCCAGACTAGGGGAGATCTCCAGCCCCCAAGCCCGTCACCTGCTACTGGCAGGATGCCCCGGCAGGCAACCCTGCCTCGTCCACCCACCCCACCCCCAATATGGGTGGGCTGCTTGCCCAGCTACTGCTGGCTGCTTAGGTGGCATAGGCTCCTGCTGTGCAGCTCTGGTACTGCGCAGCCAAGGGCAGCTGCGGGGCTGGAGCTCCGACTCTGGCCCTGCATACATGAGGGAAGTTGCGGGGCTCTGATCATGCACCTTCAGCCCCAGTCCTGTGCAGCTGGGGGAAGCTGTTGGACTCTGCACCGCCAGGGTAAACTGCGGGGCTCCAGGCCCAGCCCTGTGCTCCTGGAGTTTGTTGCGTGGACTCTGACCCTGCACTGCCATGGTGCTCTGGCCTCAGACTCACATTCCCAGGGGCTGCTGGATGCAGCATTGGGGTTCCAGTCCTGTGCTGTTCCCAGGAGGCTGGTCCTTCTGCCCTTAGGCTCCTGGGCTCTCTGGTCCAGGAGTATCCATGATCCTGCTGGACCAGAGATGTTGCTGGACCAGGGAGTGCCAGAGTTTGGAGGTACAATGTGTGTTGGTGTAAAAGTGGTCCCTGTTAATTTAATTGGGTGACTGTTGGTTCATGTGTTTATGTGAATGGGTTATATAAACTTTCATCGCACCATTCATAGACCTTTCTCAGAGCCTCACCTAGTTATCTTTTTTTTCCTCAAGCTGAAACATCCTAGTCTTTTTTTAACCTCATATGGAAGCTGTTCCACAACGTTAATCATTTTTGTAGTACTCTAGTCTACCTTTTCCATTTCCAATATATTTTGTAAGTGAGGGGTAACAGAACTGCATGAAATAGTCAGTGTCATACCATGGATTTATACAGTGGCATGATATTTACTATTTATTGCCTAACCCTTTTTTAATGATTCTTAACATTGCAGCTGCAGTGAAAAAGCTAAGACATCGAGTAGGTGTTTTCAGGACCTATCCACAACAGTGCCAAGATCTTTTCCTTAAGTGGTAACAGCTAGTTGAGACCCTATCATTTTGTATATGTAATTGGGATTAGGTTTTCCAATATGCATTGCTTTGCAGTTATCAACATTGATTATCACATGTAATTTATTGCCTCATCATCCTGTTTTGAAAGATCCCTTTGTAACTCTTTGCCACTGCTTTGGACTTAGCTCACTTGAGTAATTTTGTATCTGCAAACTTTGCTAATTTCTTTTTTACTACTTTTTCCTGATTATTCATGAATATGTTGAACACTAATGTCTGTATGGATCCTTGGGGGCAGTGTTCCTTCTAAATTTTTTTTCAATCCATGAGTAGAATAAATTTTATGTGCACTGAGACGTGTGGATGTGAACATCCACAGTAGAAACATATGCTGCTGGCTGTGGGCAGCTGTAGATGCTCTACTAATCAGCAGGACAGCATCTGAATCTCTGAGGTGACCATCCCAGCACTCAGCTTACAGGGAACACTGGCTGGGGAATATCACTATTTTTCCCTGAAAACTGACCATTTATTACTCCCCCTTTTTTCCCCTCTTTTAATCAGTTCATGAGGCGCTTTCCTCTTATTCCATGACTGCTTAGTTTGCTCAAGAGCCTTGGTGATGAATCTTGTCAAAGGCTTTCTGAAATTCGAAGTATACTGTATCCACTGTGTGATGGAGTGTGATCACAGAAGTCCCATTAGGATCATTCCAAGACCAATGTCTCCCCAAAGCACAAACTTGGGCTTACTTGCCCCTTGCAGTTGGTACGCATAGGAGAGGAAATGATACACGAGACCATCTCTGTATCAAAATTGACTGTACAGTAATCAAATTTGAGAATCCTTGCAATTTTTCACTTTCTATTATGTTAGAGGAAAATTAAGAGAAGATATTGTGGAAGGGAGCATCTATCTATTTACTTTGATCTGCTTAGGTTTAAGTACCCATTCTCCAGATACTTAATGATGCCCTGTTTCACATACCCCTTCCTTTTTCCTTTTTTTTCTTTCTCCTCCCTCTCTTTCCCCTCTCCTATTTATTTCAAGTTTTCATATCCCCTACCTTTTTTTTTCTTTCTCCTCCCTCTTTCCCCTCTCCTATTTATTTCAAGTTTTCATATCCCCTACTCATAACTCCGGTCATCTGAAGGAGTGGGCTGTGCCCACAAAAGCTCATGATACCATCTACATGTTTTGTTAGTCTATAAAGTGCTACCAGACCATTTGTTGTTGTTGTTGTTGTTTTTTTTCTTAGTAAGTATGTCACTCAGGAAGACACTGGAGTAAACACTGCCTCCTGTGACCAAAAAGAGGCTAGAAGTTTGCTTCAGTGAATCATGACACAGTTTTGTTCTCTTGACTATTTATTTAATTGCATTGACTATTCAATTAGTCAAACAATCGAAATTTACATCCCTAATCAAAAATATTCTTGAGTCAGACTTGGACATAAAATTATCTGTTCTAAAATCACTGATTGCTGTTATGTGGTTGTACAACATTTTAAACAGGTTTTAACTTTCTAGATTGTAGATTTAATTTTCCTGTTTCTAGAAACTTACAAATGGTTTCAACAGTTCTTGTTTTCATGTCTGAAATGAGCACATCTTCAAGCTGACTGCTTTGCAGTAAACTCTGATGCAAACTTTAAAGTTTCCTTATCTATGAGACTGATTGTAGGTTTTTTTTTTTCTTCTCAATTGTGGTGTTTTTGTCCATCAAGATAGGGCCTAATGTTACAAAGTGGCTGGTGTGGAAGAAGTGTAATGTTTAAAATGTAACAGTTAGTGCACTTCAAAAGCCTTAATTTTACCAACTTTTTACATTCTGAGAAACCTGCACTGATTCCTGGTCCCTTTTCTAGAGTGAATGACATCACAACTACTTTAAACTGGACTGAAAATAGCCATTCCTTTCAAACATACTATTTTTGATTAGGAATGTAAAATTTCGATTGTTTGGCTAATTGAATAGTCAATGCAATTTGTATTGACTGTTTGATTAGTCAATAAGGGTGTGTCTAAACTACATGGCTCCCTCGATGGAGCCATGTAGATTAGGCTGATTGGCAGAGGGAAATGAAGCCACGATTTAAATAATCGCGGCTTCATTTAAATTTAAATTGCTGTTGTGCTGAGCCGACACACAGCTGATCAGCTGTTTGTCCGCTCAGTGCACTAGTCTGGACGCTCCCGCGCCGACCTGAAAGCCCTTTATCGACCTCCCCGTTGTGCCTTGTGGGATGAGGTTTACCGGGGAGGTCGATAAAGGGCTTTCATGTCGACAGGGGAACGTCCAGACTGCCCCGATCTGCCGACAAACAGCTGATCGGCACGATTTAATTTTAAATGAAGCTGCGATTATTTAAATCGCGGCTTCATTTCTCTTTGCCGAACAAACAAATCTACATGGCTCCGTCAACGGAGCCATGTAGTCTAGATGTACACTTAGGGTGCTTCTGCCTTTGAAGTGTAGCAACAGCCCCAGGGCTGTTGCTACACTTCAAAGGAGAAAGTGCTGCAGAGAACAAGAGAGGGCGAGGGGGAGAAGACTCACTGGCCCTGTGCCCCTCTTGCCCTTTCAAAGCAGCAGAGCCACATGGAGCCTGGGATTAGTGGGGGAATCCCCAGTTGACCCTGGGCTCCATGCTGCGCTGCCCACTTTGAAGCGCTGCATGCAGCCCGGGGCCAGCTGGGGACGCATTTTAAAGTGACAGTGCCACGTGGAGCCCAGTCTGGCCCCAGGCTCTACATGGTGCTGCTGCTTTAAAGCACCCCTTCCTCTTCTCCTTTCCCTGCTCCCCTCTCCCCCCATGCCTCCTCCTGATAGAGGCAGCAAGGGAGAGGAAGCGACTAGTCAACTACAGCCACTCCCCGAGTTACGAACCAACACTTGGTCCATAACTCGAAGTGTTCGTAACTTGGATCCCATAGAGTTATGTGGCAACTGCGCTGTTCGTGAGCGCGGATCGCTGTTCATAACTTGGATCCACATTTACAACTGCTTTGGTCGTAAGTGCGGAGGTCGTAACTCAGGAAGCGGCTGTATCTGTCCAATAGTCAGTCATTCAACCCTATTTTGATTCCCTCATCTTTTTCAAATCCTTCCCTTTACTCTGGAATCTTTTAACTTTAAAATCAGTTAAATATTTTTGGAAAGTTTCTGTCACTTGATTCTCATTATACAACCAGTAAGGAATAGACAATAAGATGTTCCTATAACACATTTGAAACTAATGTTGTATTTTAAAATGCTAAGCCACCTGTGTATTTAGAACAAAAAGATGTCATCCAAATCACAGGTGAATTTGATCATTTCGTCTCCAAGTGGGATGAGTGCCCTTAACATCTGAAAAAAAATGGTAAATATTAAAAAATATACAAGGGCTTTTAAATGGTTACTGGATTTATTATGCATAGGTATTATTATTTTCAAGTTGCTTATAATTTTCCTTGAGCCACAATGACTTCAAATGTGAAAGACTTCATCTGCCTAGCATCATAAAATAAAATTTGGGTTAGAATTAATTGAACTTAATTTTTTGTTTTTTGTTTTAACTTCAGTGGATCTCTTCATTATGGAAGTGCTAATGTTCTCAATTACAGTGCTGCAAAAATGGCACACTGCCATGTTTTCAAATTTAGAATTATATAAATCAATGGTTATTCATTAAGATTCATGCAATAGGAATTTTTTAAATAAAGAAGGAGATTGGTGTTATACAGATTTTTTTTTTTCTCATTTAGGATCTTGGAAATTTGTCATTAAACAGCTTAAAACTTCCATTACTGTATGTAATAATTTTTTTTGTATTTTCCCTGTTGGCATTATTTACTTAGGAAAATATGATCTACATGTGAGCATGGCTCAAAATAAGTGATGCTGTTTCAGAAATTACATATACCTTTAATTAGATTGTGTCTGTCTAGATGAGTCGACGTACCTTATCGTAAAATTACTAGCTCCTCTGGAAAGCCAGTGGTCGCTGGTCTGGAAAATATCTCTGCTCCAATAAAGGAAGTGCTTTGCTGAATAGATAGCTTAAAGCATGTTTATTCCCATTGATTTTAATGAGACTCCAGTATCTGCTCAATGTTAGGTTACCTCTATATTACACACCCGGGGTGGGTGTGTGTGTTTGTGTGTGTGTGTGTGTGTGTAAGTATACCAACATTAAAAGCAGTCTGTATTCTTGTTGTGGTGTGTAGTTACATGTGCCAGTGAAAAGTTCTGGCACAGAGGAGCTAGCAGGGAAAAGCTTCAGCAGGTCCTAGATGCTAGAGCCGTTAACTGCTGCAAGGAAATACTCTGGCTGGGGGAGGCACTGTGAAAAGTCTCCACTTTTCCCTGCTGCCTCCATCTTGCTATGCCCTTCTATCACTTCCAATAGTGTTGTTCCTATTGTATGGAAGGGTTGTGGCAGAGGTTTCCCTATTTATTTCCCTGCAGAGGGAAAAGGCTCTGGCAGCAGGGTACTGTACTGATTAAAAACAGCAGTGTAGACAGGGAAGCATGGTTTGGGCCAGCAGAGAGTATGTAGGCTATATATTTGCATACATGTCTTTCTACTTGCCTAAGCCTTGCCTCATGAGCTACACTGCTTATTTATACTGGTGTTAGGAGAACTGGGTGGGTATGTAGCAAAGAAGCATGTAGTGAAGACCTACCCACAAACATGCGTTTTGCTGAATAGAAATATACTTAGGCAGATGCTTAAGTGCTTTGCTGAATTGGTCAGTATACAGGGTAACCTTATGCAACTTTTGTCTAATGACCTAGTGTCTTCTCTTCTGCAGGCAGATAAACTGCTGAAAGCGCTGAAGTGTCACTTTCATGAGCCAAAACAAGAAAATGGAAGTAAGGTAAGAATTGTGAAAGACAATGTGCTAGATATTATTCTTGTGAAGCAAGTTGCAATGCACTGCAATTATCAAAATAGGAGCCCTTAATGAATAGGGCGAGTGCTAACATAAATTGAAATTTTACTTAAAACCAATATTTCATGCTTAATGTGCCCACCTACTGCTGGAAATTGACATTTTTGTTTAATTTTCAAGTCATTCCATATATTGCTAGATCAGTGTCTATCCTAACAAGAGAATTGCAACAAAAACATGTGTTCCCTTAACTTGTGAAGCTTTCTTAGTGCTTCTGACGTGAATAATATGCATATAGTAATGCTAGAAAATGGTCCCAATTCTCTTATACAGGACTTTGGAAGGAGCATTTCCTCCTCTACAGACACAGAGGACCTCAGCAGTCCAGAGACGGTCAAACCTATTCCAGTGTCCTTTATCACAAAAAGACGTAGGAAAGGCAGGAAGGTTGAGACTGAAAAGATGGCCTCAAAGGAGGAAATTAATACTAATGAAGAAGATATGGAAATTCCTGCT